AAATAAAGTTAACTTATTTAAATATATCAATATAATAACTATAAAATATACTATTTCTATTTTTATGTATAAGACTCAATTATTTAATTCATTAAAATTAATAAAAATAATTAATTTAGTTGATACAATACATTTGTCCTATATATATTTTATAAAATTATTTTTATATTACTTTTTTTAATTAATATTCATTTTTCTCTTAATCAATTAAAATGATCTTTTTTAAAAAATTTATAATTAATGTATTTTTATCAAATTAAGAGATTAATTAGAAAAATTAGTCTAAAAGTAATTCATATATGAAACAATATAAATTAAGTCTTATATAATGAAACAAACAATTATTTCAAATTAAATCAAGAATAAAAATGATAATAAATGTGTAATATAAGTTTGATCAAAATTTATAAATATAATAAATATATTGATCAAAATTCATAAACATGATAAGTATATTATTGTAAAATTCAAATTAAAAGGTTAAAATATTTTTTTAATTCTTATAATTTCACTTATTTTATCTTTTGGTTTTTTTAGTTTCTATATTTTTCTTTTTCAATTATTTTTAATACTTATAATTTAAAATAGAACTTTTTAGTTCTTATATTTATAAATTTTTTTGATCTTTTTAGTCCTGATATTAATTTTTTTTTAACGTTATCATTTTTGTGTTAACGTGATAAAAATATTGATTGAACTTTGTGTATATGATGTTAAATTTATTTTACAAGAGTTATTTAAAATTATGTCTCTTAATACTTAGTGTCTCTTATAGCTTTACATGTGTGGTCCATTGTTAAGACACTATTATTTTACACTCATAAAATTAAAATTTTTTACCAAGTTAATACAAAAAACAACAAAACAAAAAAAAAATTTAACATAGAGAATAAACAAATTAAAAACTCCAAATACATGAATTAAATTATAAAGACTAAAAATAACTAAAAATAAATAAATATAAAGATTAAAAATATCAATTTTAATTTATAAAAACTAAATAAAATAAATGAATCAATTAAAAAAGTATTTTAACCAACTAAAAACATACATATATACTAACCACTGTGTTGCATCCTTGCTGGGGTTGTAGTGTAAGATATTGTGGCTGGGCTAACGATGTGATATTGAAAAGATTTGATTCCCAAGCGACGAGTCATGTTTGGAAGCCAATATGTGAAGTCAAAGAAAACGATTTGTGGCTTTAGATGAAGGAGGAGAAGTTCTATGTCGTTCTCTGTGCGGTCCATGGCTGTCATAATGAGTGGAACTAAGGGGAAAGAGACATCGGAAGTGGTTTCTGCGCCATGGGGAAGGCCATCAACATGAGGAACGTTGATAGGGTAAAAGGTTATGAGATGTGGATAAAGGTTGAATTGCTCTAACTTGGCTTGTGTTCTTTTGGGGATGAAGAAGGAGACTCTGTGTCCCCTCTTTGCTAATTTGTTTGAGAGGTGCAGATATGGAGTTAGGTGCCCCATTGCGAACCATGGAAACATTGCTATGTGCAGAGAAGGTGAATCCATGGCTGCCAGAACCGATTACCAATGCGAAGGCTCGCCTCAGATAAAAGATAATGGTGATTTGGTGCAGTGGTCGTCGGTTGTATAGTAAAGTGAAGTGATGAAAAGCATTTAATGTATATATTAGTTTGTTTGTCCATTTGTGAAGGTAGCCAGCTGTCCTTGTCTTCTTGGTTGTCTTCTTTGTCAAACATTGAAAATTTGAAATATAGTAAAAAAATGGATACACGAGAGTCGACAATGAAATAAAAATTAATAATTTAGTTGTTAACAGAGAAATTCATACTTTATTTATGATCGCATATGCATATTAATTATTTCAACCTTTAACTGCTACTCTCCCAGAACTGATATATTAAAAAAAAACCCTTAAAAAGTAAACTTTATTTAATATTATTAATCTAAAAATATATTCATAATAATAAATGAGAATATTATAAATGCGATTAAGGATATATTTTTTTAAAATATAATGTATATTTTATTTAAAATTGTAAAAATTATATATATTTAATAATTTTTTTAAATTTACGTAAAATTAATTATTTTTGTTTATGTATAGGTCTAGAGGGAGTACTATTGTAGATCATAGTAATTTTCTATTTAAATATAATAAATCATAATACCTATTTATAAGGCTTAATTCATAATAATTATTTGTTTTTTTTATATAAAATTTAATTTATATTATCTCGTATATTAATTATTTTTATATTAAAATACACTTAATCAAAATGTACTATCTTAATTTGATAAAATGTAATAATTGTAAATTATTTAAAAAAATATATACTCTAATTGCTTAAAAAATATGAGTATTAATTATGAAAGAAAAATAATATAAGAATAGTTTATATATATAATATATATATAAATATGATATATGATATGATATTGTTTTTTTTGATATTCAGTAAGAGTCTCTTTAGATGCAAGTTAGACAAAAGTCATTTTGAGAGTTTTTTTTATTAAAAATAAAGAGTATTTTTTTTAAAGAAACTTTCAAAAAAAATTATAAATTTATATTTAAATATGTTCTAAGGTAACTATTTTTTTTTAAATTTTAATGAATTAGCAAATTAGATCTTATATATAGAAATTGTGGTAATAATTAAAAAGTATATAAACTTAAAATACGAACCTTTTCGAATCCTTCTAAGAAATACGGGTGGTTTGATGCATGTTTTAGTTTGCATAAACTTAAAATATATTAATTGTAACGTTAGAAATAATGGTGATTTGAAGTATATACCATATAAAATCAAACCAATCAACTGTTGGCAGATTCGTGTAAGAAACACTCTGTTCTACATTTGAATTAAAATAAGAGTTAATCAGTGTAAATTTTTTTACATTTACAACTAATCATATCTTTTAAAATTACTTATTTTATTATTATTTCATTAAATAAGCAACTGATAATTAAAAAATATAATTAGTTCGTTAACAAAAGAAATTCATACTTTATTTATTATGATCTAACACCTACTCAAATTTGAAATATATTAACATAAGCATTGATAATTTGACACGAGGGTGACAATGAAATAAAAATTAATAATTTAGTTGTTAAAAAAGTAATTAATACTTTATTTATGATCGCATATGCATATTGATTATTTCAACCTTCAACACCTACTCTCCCAAAACTCATATAAGAAAAAAGGAAAAAAAGAAAATCTTAAAATTTTTAAAAGATAATATAAGTAAATTTAAATAAGTTAACTTTGTTTAATATTGTTAATTAAAAAATATATTTATGATAATAAATGAGAACATTTTCTATTATAAATGCAATTAAAGATATATGAAATCTAGTGTATATTTTATCTAAAATTGTAAAAATTAAATACATTTCATAAACTTTCTTAATTCATGTGAAATTAGTTATTTTTGTTTATGTATAAGTCTAAAGGGAGTATTATTGTATATCATAGTGGTTTAAATATATAGTGAATTATAATATCACTCCTATTCCTATTTAAAAGACTCAATTTATAATAATTGTTTGTATTTTTATATAAAATTTAGTTAATATTGTTTCATATATTAATTATTTTTAGATTAAAATACTCTTAATTAAAAGGTGATCTTAATTTGTTAAAATACAATAATTATAAACTCTTTAAAAAACATGTACTCTAACTGGTTAAGAGAAAGATGAATATTAATTTCGGGAGAAAAATAGTATAAGATATATACTCTAATTGGTTAAAAAAATATGAGTATTAATTATGAAAAAGTAGTATAAGAGTAAACTTAGAAGAAAAAAAAGAAATATGATAAATTTATTGTTATCAACTAAAAGTCTCTTTAAGTACTAAACTAATTCATTGTGCATGCACAATTAATGCATTACATATTTGGGATCACTATCAAGTATTAACTTAGACTTAAAAAATGTGTTTGCAAAAAAACTTGAACAACATATCTATTTTAGAGTTCAATTAATTTTCACAATCAATTTTGGACATTGGAAATGAAAAACTATTTGAACCAAATAATGGTTATGCTGTTAACATTCCAAAAGAATTTTTTATTACAAATTTTAATGGTCCTATAGATGTAATCTTGTAAAGCACATATATATTGATTTATTGGAAAAATACAAAGATGAACAATTCTTGAAATCTAGAGCTATTTTGGCATCAATATTTTAGGTTGTCAATCAAATTAATGACTATGTTCTATCTTTGATTCTAGTTATTGCTTTTAACATGTTGATTCAAACTATGTCATGCAAAAGTATAACACTAAATACACTTTTAGTTGTTACTTAGTTAATTATATTGAATTTAATTGACATTAGGTGATGAAAAAGAATATTTGAGTTTAGATTCAATTGATAAGCTTGAAACAACCGACAATCAAACACTTGAGGCATTTACAAGTAAATTTTTGAACTCTCAAAATATCCAATCTTTCTAATCATAAGATAAAACTCAAGTTTGGAATGTCAATCATGTTATTAAGGAATACAGATCAATCTGAAGGCTTATGTAATGGTACTAGGTTGGTCATCACAAGATTAACTAGAAAAATAGTTCGAATTGATGTTCCCTAATTTTTTGTCAATCATAACTCTTACTTCAATGACATGATTAGTTAATCTTGTGATGACCAAGCTAGTATCATTGCATAAGCCTTCAGATTGATCTGTATTCCTTAATAATATGATTGGTGTTCCAAACTTGAGTTTTATCTTATGATTAGAAAAATTGGATGTTTTGAGAGAGTTCAAAAATTCACTTATAAATGCTTCAAATGTTTGATTGTCAGTTGTTTCAGACTTGTCAATTAACTCAGATATTCCTTTTTATCACCTAATATCAGTTGAATTCAATATAATTAACTAAGTAACAACTATAATTACTCTTTTGCTACTTCTCTTTCATAATTAATGCACATATTTTTTTAACCAATTAGAGTACATGTCCTATATTATTTTTCTCCCAAAATTAATATTCATCTTTCCCTTAGTTAAAGTGCATGTTAACCAATTAGAGTACATGTCCTATATTATTTTTCTCCCAAAATTAATATTCATCTTCCCTTAATTAAAGTGCATGGTTTTTTAAAGAACTTATAATTATTGCATTTTTTCAAATTAAGACAACACCTTTTAATTAAGAGTATTTTAATATAAAAATAATTAATATATGAGAAAATATAAGTTAGATTTTACATAAAAATACAAATAATTATTATAAATTAGGTTTTATAAATAAGAAGAGAGGTGATATTATAATTTACTATATTCATACCATTATGATATACAATAATACTCCCTCTAAACTTATACATAAGCAAGAATAATTAATTTTATATAGATTAAAAAAGTTCATTAAATATATTTAATTTTTATAATTTTAAATAAAATATAAAATATATTTCATAATATATCCTTAATCTATTTATGATAGATAATATTTATGATAGATAATATTGTCATTTATTATCATAGATATATTTTTGAATTAATAACATTAAATAAAGTTAACTTATTTAAATTTACTTATATTATCTTCTAAAAATTTTAAGGATTTTTTTTTCTTATATATGAGTTTTGGGAGAGTAGGTGTTAAAGGTTGAAATAATCAATATGCATATGCGATCATAAATAAAGTATTAATTTCTTTGTTAACAACTAAATTATTAATTTTTATTTGATACGACTCTCGAGTTAATCCTTATTTTAATATATCTCAAATTTGAGTAGCTGTTAAAGGTTGAAATAATTAATATGCATATGCGATCATAAATAAAGTATGAATTTCTTTGTTAATAAATTATTAATTTTTATTTCATTGTCGACTCTCGTGTATCCATTTTTTAATATATTTCAAATTTTCAATGTTTGACAAAGAAGACAACCAAGACGAGGACAGCTGGCTACCTTCACAAATGGACAAACAAACTAAAATATATACATTAAATGCTTTTCATCACTTCACTTTAATATACAACCGACGACCACTGCACCAAATCACCATTATCTTTTATCTGAGGCGAGCCTTCGCATTGGTAATCGGTTCTGGCAGCCATGGATGCATCTTCTCTGCACATAGCAATGTTTCCATGGTTCGCAATGGGGCACCTAACTCCATTTCTGCACCTCTCAAACAAATTAGCAAAGAGGGGACACAGAATCTCCTTCTTCATCCCCAGAAGAACACAAGCCAAGTTAGAGCAATTCAACCTCTATCCACATCTCATAACCTTTTACCCTATCAACGTTCCTCACGTTGATGGCCTTCCCCATGGCGCAGAAACCACTTCCGATGTCTCTTTCCCCTTAGTTCCACTCATTATGACAGCCATGGACCGCACAGAGAACGACATAGAACTTCTCCTCCTTCATCTAAAGCCACAAATCGTTTTCTTTGACTTCACATATTGGCTTCCAAACATGACTCGTCGCTTGGGTATCAAATCTTTTCAATATGGCATCGTTAGCCCAGCCACCTTATCTTACACTACATCCCCAGCAAGGATGCAACACAGTGGTGACTTAACTCAACTCGATCTCATGCATCCGCCACATGGCTACCCTACTTCATCCATCAAGCTTCATGCTCATGAAGCAAAGTTCCTTGCTTCCATGAGAAACTGGGAGTTTGGTAGTGGTGTTCTCTTTTATAATCGCTTGTATAATGGTTTAAGACTATCAGATGCAATTGGATTCAAAGGTTGCAGGGAAATTGAAGGACCTTATGTTGATTACCTTGAGGAGCAGTTTGGGAAGCCTGTTTTACTTTCAGGACCTGTCTTACCTGAGCCACCCAACACTGTTTTAGATGAAAAATGGGGTTCATGGCTTGCAAAGTTCAAGGAAGGTTCAGTTATTTACTGTGCACTTGGGAGTGAATGGAAGTTATCACATGATCTGTTCCAAGAATTGTTGTTGGGTCTTGAACTTACAAACCTGCCTTTTTTGGCTGTTTTGAAAACTCCAATAGGGTTTGAAACAATTGAAGCTGCTCTCCCTGAAGGGTTCAAAGAGAGAGTTGAAGGGAGAGGAATTGTCCACAGTGGATGGATACAACAGCAACTGATTTTGGAACACCCATCAGTGGGTTGCTTCATAACACATTGTGGTGCTGGTTCATTGACAGAGGCACTAGTGAATAAGTGTCAGATAGTGTTGCTGCCACAGCTGGGTGGTGATCACATAGTTAATGCAAGGATGATGGGTGGCGTCTTAAAGGTTGGGGTTGAAGTGGAGAAGGGTGAAGAAGATGGGTTTTTCACAAAGGATAGTGTGTGCAAAGGTGTGAGAGTTGTGATGGATGAGGAGAATGAGGTTGGCAGAGAAGTTAGGGAAAATCATGCCAAACTGAGGAACTTCTTGGTAAGCCCCAATTTGGAGTCTGCATGTGTTGATAGCTTTTGTCAGAAGCTTCGAGATTTGCTCAGGTGATTAATTTCCAAGTTTTCAGAAACTGTGGAGAATGCTTGACGGTGCGAAATTTATAAGCATGACACGTATATGAATTCAGATTGCATTTTATATTATTGCTTCTTCTAGTGCATGGTTCTCGTATATATTCTCTTTCTTCAATTTGTTTTTGCTTTATTTCGGTTATATTTTGCTGGGTTTTAATTTGTTTGTTCAGTTTGGCTGTAAGCTATAAGCATTGATGAATGAATATGGGTCTTGCTTATATGATTGATCATTGAGCCATCATCTTATGGTCTTCTTAACCCAGCTACTGCTGGTCCGTGTGGACTTGTTGGATCACTACCCAATTTTTCCCTTTTCTTTTAGAACATTTCTTCTCTTTGCTTTGACGGTTAATTTTCACTTTGTTTAAATTAATCTTATTAATTTAATTAAATTTGATATTCACACTACAAGAAAAGAGCTTTTCTATGTGTATTAGACATGGCTTCTAACACTATAAGAAGTTATTAAAGAAGTTTGAAGGAGTCCAAGATGTTAAAAATTCGTCCAAAAAACTTAAGAATGAACTACATCAATCTAATCTCTTATAAGATTTCCACTATTAATACTAAAAAGTACTTCCTTAATTTAATTTACTCCAAAACATATGGATTAGCCAAAATTGAATAAGATTAAATAAAATGTTACATATCAAACTCGATTTTAATTTGCTGGTAGAAGCAACCTTTATTCTCTCTTTTACAAAGGGGTGTAATTCTATTAGTTAAACAGTAACTTGCTGTAAATTTTCAAATCCAAATCCAAAATTATAAAATTGATTCATTTATAGTTGCTTTACTTTTGTCCTCACTCAAAAATTAAAATCTAAAATGCAAAATGGAAAGATATGATATCCCAATTTATCCGAACAAAAGATGAATATTCTGGGAATATGCTTGGTGATAAAGTTGTTGTAGAATGCCGCGTGGAACCCACAGTTTCAGAGGCGACTTGACTCTATTTGCCGACATAATTGACTTGACTATATTTTTGAGTAAGTGAATGTTCAGTTTTTCACTCCACATTTCTTCCTTCGAGTGCCACTTCTCTGAACTTGAAGGAACAACCATGAAAAAAAGCTCACCTCTCTGGAAAGGGTTTTTGGCCCAGCTGGGTCGTCATTCACCCTCAAATTTGAATCCGTCGGAATCATCCTCCTCCAATTTGAACCAGGAAAGCATAGCATCCACTTCTTCGGAAAGCGTCCAAAACAATGGACACCGAGTATTTCTCAGTTTCAGAGGTGTCGACACGCGCAAGAATTTCGTTGATCATCTCTACGGTCATCTCACCCGAAAGGGTATTTCTGTCTTTAAGGATGACATCAGCCTCCGCAAAGGGGACTCCATTTCACCACAGCTTATGCAAGCCATCGGAGATTCCCATGTTTCTGTCGTCGTTTTTTCCAAAGACTACGCTGCCTCCAGTTGGTGTTTGGAAGAAATGGCCTTCATAGCTCATTGCAAGCAAGAGGCAAACCAAACTGTTTTTCCTGTTTTCTATGATGTGGATCCATCTCATGTAAGACATCAGAGTGGGCCATACAAGAAGCCCTTTGTTAAACACAAATGGAAAAAACCACACAAGGTTCGCCGATGGAAGAGAGCCATGAAGGTTTTGGCCAGTTCTGCTGGTTGGGATGTCAGGAACAAGTAAGTATATTAACATTATTCGCTTTGTTCTCTTACATTCTTAATTATCATTTAAGATCTTCAATTCAGTTCTTTTTATGCGCAGACTTAATTTTACTTTTTAGGTAAAAAAGCCATGTCTTCGTTCTTAATTACTTCAATTTATATTCATTAATTTTTACACAAATGTTTTAAGTAGTCAAATTTAAAAGATGTTGTAAATTATTTTCATTAAGGTCACCCTATAATTTGAAGAGATTGAAAATATGTTAGCCTTATTTTCTCTAGTTGAAAATTTAGCTATACTATTTTTTTCCTCTACAGACCAGAGTTTCAGATGATTGAAAACTTAGTTGAAGCTATAGTAAAAGTATTGGATCGTAATTTCTCAGGGATTCCAGATGATCTTATTGGAATGCAACCCCGTGTGCAAGAATTAGAAAGCATTTTAAACGATGACGATGTTCGAGTTTTAGGAATTTGGGGGATGAATGGAATAGGAAAAACTACTCAAGTTACTGTCTTGTATGATAAAATATCTCACAAGTTTAATGGTTGTTGTTTCATTCGGGATGTGAGTGAAATTTATAAAAAACACATTGATGGTGCCAGTGTTATACAAAAACAAATTCTTCTTCAAACATTTAAGGAAGAAAATCTTGAAACATGTGATTCCGTTGAACTATCGAGAAGAATAAAACAAAGGTTACACAATATAAGGGTCCTTATAGTTCTTGACAATGTTGACCAAATACAACAATTGAAAGCATTGGCCATAGATCCCAAAATGCTTATGAAAGGAAGTAGAATGATTATTACAACTACAGATAAGAAAATTCTACGATGGTATAGTGCAAATGTAATACATGAGGTTTCATTATTGAATGATAATGATGCTCGTGAACTGTTTTATAAAAAAGCCTTTGAAAATAAAGACCAAATTAGTGATTATGTGGAGTTGATGATTCCTGACATACTAAAGTATGCCCAACGTCTTCCATTGGCAATTGAAGTAATGGGTTCTTGCTTGCGTGATTGTAATCTTGAACAATGGATAGATCTTTTACATAGATTAGAAAATGATCCAGATGATGGAATTAAGAATGCACTTCAAAAATGTATTGATGGACTACACTTTTATGATGAAATTAAGAATGCACTTCAAAAATGTGTTGATGGACTACACTTTTATGAAAAAGAAATATTTTTACACATTGCTTGCTTCTTTAATGGAGAAAGAAAGGATTATGTTGACCGAATTTTGGAATGTTGTGAGTTATACCCTTGGAACGGAATTTCAAGAATGGTTGAAAAATCACTCATAACTCTTAGAGATGAAGAAATTTATATGCATGAAATGTTGAAAGAATTGGGAAAGGAAATGGTTTGCGACCAACATCTTTATGAACCAGAAAGATGGAGTAGATTATGGCTATATAAAGACTTCTCTCGCGTCTTAACAAGTGAATTGGTAACAAGTTTTATATGTATCTCTCTCTTTCTCTCTACTTCCATATATAAGAATTTACTTACTTTAAAAGTAAGTCTTGATAGACTTATTCCATTTAATAATTCATTTTTTATATTAAAATTCAATGACTTAACCATCGAATTAAAAGTTCTCAATGTATAGATCAAACTTGTAATTCTTTTTAAACCATTAAAAATCATATGATACTTCATTATATAGATTCAAATCAACGTTTAAAATATTTTTATAATTATCTATCAATTTGATTAATGAAACAAAATATCAAATATTTTTTTATTTTATTTTTTTAAAATTGTAAACTAAATCTACACATTAAGTACATTTAATTAATGGTTGATTTGTTGAAATTTGATGTATAATATGAGTTATTGAGTGAAATTAATCTTTAAAGTAAGTGGATTGCTTCTCATATATATATATATGAGGATAGATTTACTTAGTCTAAGAGTAAATTTTGATAGACTTACTTTATTCAATAATTCATGTGTTATATCAAATTTCAAATATTTATTAACTATCAAATTAAAAAATTTTAATATATAGATAAAGCCTATAATTTAAAAAAAAAACTTGAAAATAATTTGATATTTCATTTCATTAATTTGTAAACTTGATCTATATATCAATAATTTTTAATTTGATGGATAAATCATTAAAATTTGATATAAAACACACACACACACACTAACACTAGTAGAGTTACTCCAATCAATAACTAATAATTTATATTCACACACACACACATATATATTACTAGAGTTACTCCAATCAATAACTAATAATTTATATTGAATTTTAACTATCCAATCATTAAATTAAAATCTTTTAATGTATATATCAAGTTTACAATTTTTCACAAAATTTAAAAATTATTTTATACTTCATTATATAGATTTAAATTGACGTATGGTATGGTTTTATGAATATATGTCAATTTGAATTAATGTAACAAAGTATCAAATAATTTTCAAATATTGTATAATTTGTACACTTAATTTATTCATTAATAACTTTTAGTTAGTTACTAAGTAGAGTAACTTTATTAATAGTTACTCTTGGATTAAATGGATCTTTTCCTTATATATATATA